ATAAAATGACTATATAATAGATATACATGATAAAACCGAAGTAGGGACTAACTACAGAATAAAAACGGATACATTACATAAAACAACTTAATCCAACACATAAAAATACACAGCCGAGTTAGCCAAAGCCTCAACGCACAAAGTGACGTCACATTTGAAATTCTAAAAAATACACACAAAGTGACGTCACATTTGAATTTGTAAAAATATTTCCCAAAAATAAGATAGGATTAGGATTGATTCAAGATTAGATTTGTAATACTGACATTACCAGATTTCAGAATTGAAATTGTGGACTTTCAGTTTTGCGTCTTTGGCACCAGTCTATGATACTTTGCACGTTCTGTGTTTGTTCACTGGCCTCTTGAGTCTGTACAGTAACACCTGTAGGCTTCTTTACGTAGCTTGTAGAGTGTGCTTACTGTAACCTGGTGCATTTGACGTGTCCAAGTGACACTCGAAGCAGAAAAAAAAGGATTATGCTGTTCTAAAGGAAGCAATCCCTACCTCAACAATGGCTCCTATCCATCCACTATTTTGGAGGTTTCCAATGGACTTAAATGCTGCCATTTTAATATGCAGACCCCCAAACATAATGACAAATTTTTCTTCGCCATACCTTTTGGGCCAATGTCACTGTATTTGTTTTGCTAATGCGTAGATTGGCTGATCAGACGCAATAACAGAAGTCTAAAATGGAATTCAGAAATGCAACCGTGTCTTTAATCTTATCTATGACATGCCGTATGGTGGCCACTGATTGTGCTTGGTCACGGAGGAGAGGTAACATCGATGTTATACTCACATCAAATACTTTTCTTGGAGGCATGGTGCGCCGACCATGTAATGTTGTCGTCTTCATCAGATGCCTCTTTTCGGCTAACTTTCTCAAGCAATTCATGCTCAACTGTCAAATCAATTTTGCATTCATTTGTGTTTAAGCACAATGGTAAATTGGCTTTGGACGGAGTTGTATTCTTTTTCCTGATGATATTGGTGAAAAAATCAGGAAGTTCAGGAACTCTCTTTACCTTACTGTTCCTTAGCAGCTGTGGTAAACAACCTTTTCCTCCTGACTGTCGGAAAAACTACTCCTTCCTCCATGTATTTTCTTACTGCTGCATCTCCCAGTTGTGCTGACACTTCAAGCACCAGATCATATGGAATGCTAAGGCCATATTCGTGCAGCATTTCTACAAGGAGTCTTTTCTAGTTTTGGTATAGACATACATCCCCACAGCAAATGTGGTTTCGGGGTCTTTTGAATGCCTGTGAGTTGCTGCTCCTTCTCTGTACTTAGCATAGCAATTATATTAAAAACGTTGAGCCATTGTTAGATCGGTCTTGGATGCACCAAAGCGTAATTGTGACTTTATATCAGCACTATGCTCAATCATGCACACAAACTGAAGAAGTGTTGAGGGAATTGCACTTTCAACACATCTTTAATGAAATGTTCCAGTAAATCCTGACTTATGGTCAATCATGTGTCCACGCAAGATCTTGGCAGCTTTGGCAAGGATAATAGCTTCTAAATAGTTGGATGTTTGTGACAAGGCTGCACCAATATCATTTTTGAAAGCTAGGAGAATATCCCTTCCCATCTTATGAGCTTCAAGTTCAGGAATTTTCTGCCGGCAATTTTTCCTTTTATCTAGTGGAGTTGACATTCCTAATTCTTCAAGTCGTTGTTTGTAGAGACTGCCACACGGAATACAGCAGGATTATCACTACTTGTGTTTGTCTCCAGTATGTAGGTGAGGAGCTCTGAAAACACAAGTGGATATACTTCCCTTTCTTCGGACAGTTCGCTGTCATTCTGATTTTCAGTTGGCAATAGGTAAGCCTTCTCCTTGTTGTACAGAGATGTCACACAAGAATAGTGATACTTCAGCTCTTGTGCAACAACATCATTCTCCTCCACCATTAATGTTTCGAACACATTCATTTAACATTTTATCAAGCTGCATTGTCATGGCTTGTGGCAGTTCAAATATTGAATTTTCATTATCGGATAAAAAAAAACACACACGACATTCAATGCTAGTTCTTCTAACCTTGCTTTGTCTATCGTCTTGAGAGATTCTTCTTATAGTTGACCTCTTTCCTGCCTTGTCTAGCTTGGTATTATTGAACAATAAACTACAGTTCTTGTGATATTTGGCATTGTTCTGTCTCAAAGTGTCTTCATTACCATCACCTTCATCTGATCTGATGGGATTTAAAATAACCGGAAGTTGGTTGATGGCTTAAAAAGAGTGGAATGTTTCTTGCGATCATGTAGTAGCCATCATTTTCTTTGCTGCATGAATAGTGTTCCAATAAGTTTGATATTTGGATTTCAATTGGGTCACACTTGACATCCTTATAATATGTATCTTCACAATTTCAAGAGACTGCTATAATTATGTTATCCTTTTGCCACCTTAAACTAAACGCTGGTTATGTAAATGACGTTTTCCTGACAAAATTTAAGGATATAAATCTTGAACTTTATACAATTTCAAATTGAGTTGCCTTATTTATTGTTAACAGTAAGTTTGTGACAAATAAAAAAGGTGTATAGAATATAACTGAAAATTCACATATTTACAATAAAAAATGAGGCGGAGGAAGATGTGTCTATCCGCAAATGATAATGAAAACTGTCTTAAATGTTTAAATATTATATAGTATTTGGCTTAAGCAAATGTACTATTTGACCTAAAAACCATTAAAATGGAACTGCTAAGACTACTTTTATATTAAGATTTTTTTTTAAATCAGGATTGGCGGCCATCTTGAAAATGGCCACCATTTTGAAAAAAAAGACGGCTAACGGGTTTTTTCAAACAAGTATCCTAAGGGGAGTACCCATGCAACAAATTGAACGATTTTTCTAAATATTAACGTAATCTGCTGGGCTATTATAAGGGTCAATGTTCCGTAACTCAGGAATGACAGAGCCAAAAATAAAAAAATCAAAAGGGAGCTTTCTTCCGATAATTATAATGTTGTGTTAAAGTTATATGTTAAAGCGAATTTGAGTTATCGTTCGAAGTGATGACGGACGGACGGACGGACGGACATTGGTAAACCATAATATTCTTCGACTGGCCTATACAAGCTGGGCATTATCAAGATTTGTTGCTTTTGGTTCATAAAGTGTGATTAACTGATTCGTTGGTTATACTTGGAAGTGGTATCATAATAGTAAAACAAATGTCCGTCCGTCTGTCCGTCGTAAACTTTTTAAAAGATTTTCTCGTCTGAAACTACTTGGCCAATGTTACCAAAATTTACCTTGGTGCTCCTTCTGATATGTCCTTAAACATTGGTATCCAGGGATTTACTCCATCGTCTAACATGGCCACTGTTGCTAAAGATAGAACATATGGGTAAAATGCAGTTATTGGCTTATATCTAAAACTAAAGCATTTGAGCAAATCCGACAAGAATATATGAATTATCAGAAACTCCCGTTTAGGAGTTATTGCCCCTAATTGTTAATTTTTAATAAATTTCAAAATAAATTTTGCTTAATCTCAAAAAACTAAAGCAGCTAGAGCAAATCTGACAGAGTAAAATTAATCAGAAGGTCAAGGTCTATCTCCTGCGGACAACCCATTTTCAAGTTTTCTCCCTGAAATGTCAATTTTTAAAAATTATTATCCCGAAAGCTATTGTTGATAGCGAAATGCACAAACCAATTACGTCTATAAATAGATAATATAAATAATCAGTCACTTGGAAGAAATCGTCAAATGATCCCTTATTTACATTTATGTAGTTATTGCCTTTAAATGATTTTTAGTCTTTTTGCATTTTTTTAGGATAAAAATAATCTTTCCATAGTATAAATGTTCAACAAACTATGATATAAAAGTCAGTCAACATGGACGAATCGCCAATTAACCACATATAAGAGTCATTTTCCTTGAAAGACACATTTTACTTCTTTTTTTATTATTTTGCAGAAACTATAATAAATAGAGAAATTATAATAAGCAAAATTTTCAGCAAAAGAAGATCTACAAATAAGTCAACTTGGCCGATATTGTCAATTAATCGCTTATAAGAGTTTAAGAGTTATCACCCTTGAAAGTTGTTTCAACTAATTTTTATAAAACTGATGGCAATGAAGGAAAAACTAAACATCAAAAAGGCATATGTGTTAACCAGACGCTTGAGAACGCTTGAGAGTCTCTTGTTTATGCAAGAAACAAATGTGCATTTACCATTTTCAGTGTTCCGAATCCGTCCGTGATAATTGTACCACTACTACTGACATTATACAAGAGTTTCAATTTTCCACTGTTTCCCATTCATGATCCATCACATCGGTGTAGAATTCTCTAGATATTATAATTATCAATATCTGTTTCCTTAGGGGATCATGACGATTAAACACTTCAATTAAACTTATTTATAAAGTAACTATCGCTTAATCGGAATCCCCTCTTTCTAGTATACTATGAAATGGACTCCTAGATAAACTGATAAATACTTGTTGAAATGTTTTTGAATTTTAAAATTTTATAACCATGAGGTTGCTTTTACCTTAAATAAATTTTAGGAGAGATGCAAACTGGACAACAATCACCTGATTAAATATGTAGGAGCTAAAAACCAAAGTGGATGGAGTTTTTGTAACTCTCGTACATGTAAGATCTGACACGACAAAGTACATGTTGGAAATATATTGGAGGTGCGTTCACTTATAATATACTACACTCAATGAATATTAAGCATGTTAAAATCGTTTCCTGATCTTTAATGTCATTTTTTAACAACATTGTTTCGAACCCAGTAAACCTATAAGAAAAACGGTGGTTTACATGTATAAAAGTAATCAGGTAGTAATGATATCAAGTAAATACGAAACACCGTTCTGAAATGTGAAATGTGAAATGTTGTTTGACATTTTAAAGGTAAAAATGTATGTAAATTTGTCGCATTTCTATAATCGTATATATTCATTATGCATTATCAATTTGTTATGTAAATGCAGAATTGATCGATATAGATGGTCTATATACAAAAAATGTGAATAAATTTAACAAGAGCAGTTTGACGAAACGTTATAGCTTAATACATCCTTTTATGACAGATAGGCGTAATAAAATGTATTTTGTAAACGCAGATATACAGACCGGAACTTATATAATATGTAACCACTTAACAATAAATAAAACATAAACGTCTTATACTAGAATTTAAACCAACATCAGATACATGTTGTTCGAAAAATGACACACTAAAGGATGTCTTATTTTCAAGGATGGACTCTAAGGTGCATTTTTAAGTGTTTATACTAAATTATATAATTAATAGGTTATATACTTGTTACATCGCATTATAAACGTGTTAAATTTAATTACTCTTCTTGTTTGGATATCATTTACCTAAGAAAAAAATGAGATATAACATTACTGTTTCCGAATGGAATTCCGAATTGGCAAAACTGTTAATTCCAAATAGTTTTATTTTGACATTATATTTGCTTTGCGGAATAACTGGTAATATTTTGGTAATATTAGTTTACACTTTTAAAATGAAAAAACACTCAGAAGACAGATACTTCATTCCTGCATTGGCTGTGTCGGACTTATCAGCCTGCATTGTGTGTGCGTCATTTGGGATATTATTAAATATGATGCAAGCACAGTTTACAAACAACAGTTTATGTAAGGCTTATTGGTTCTTTGCCGCGTTTACGACATACATGTCGATATTATTGCTGACTATCATCGCAATCCACAGGTACCTTAAAGTTTGTCGACCGCTTAGAGCACAAATGTCCCTTTTTTGGAAAAGGGCCGCACTTTTGTTGGCGCTTGTGTTGTCGATTCTGCTTGGATGTCCAACATCGTTGTTGTATGGAACTGTAGAATTTTCTAACGCAAGTGGCAATCTCACAGGACGTCGCTGCAGTAGGATGAACGATGTTAATAAGACAGGATCATCTATTTATAGCGGAGTTATTAGCTTAGTAATACTTTCGACAATAACGGTTCTTGTTGTGTGCTACGGTAAGGTTGGACGAACAATTTTTGTTCATTTTAAGCATATGTCCAAATCAGCACTTAGTAAAAATGTTCAAAAAGGACAGTCTCCGAGTTCAAGTGATTTACGTTCTTGTGACACCTCTGCCACACACTCAACAGACATTCTCACTATAAATCCAGAACTTTCTTCGGTATCGATAAAACAAGAATTAAATACTGACAATAGTGGCATTGAAATCAGCGATACAAACGTGATTGCTAAAGTCAAAACCGCAAAAACGAAATTCAAAACAGTCAAAGTATCACTGGATGCAGAAGAAAAAAATAGAAGCATAATGTATAAGTTTTCTCTCATGTTTATGGTTATAACAATCGTGTTTCTTATTTGTTATCTTCCGAAAGTTATACTAATGGTTATGGAAGGACGAAACCCCAAGTTTTGGGAGAACTTTTCAAGTGGACAGAGAGCTGGAGTTCTTTTTCTTTATCGTTTTTACATTGTGAACAATGTTGTCAATCCGTTTATTTATGCTTTTATGGACATGAAATTTCGTCAAGAGGCAAAAAATTTACTGACTTGTAAACATTCTTAGAAAGTTAATAGTAGCATGAGAATTTCTATGAAAGTTGTTAGTAGCACGAGAAAATTATAAATTATTGCGGTTTTCTATGAAAGCTGTTAGTAGCACCAGTAAAATGAAAATTATTATTATCTAAAGGGTTGTTTGTTATCTTATTTGCTAGTGGGACAGATAACAGGTAGCTAGGAAATCGTAAGTTATGTATTTTGAAACCTAAAAAACGTTAAAACAGCTACGTCTAATATCCAGGAATCCCATATGTTGATATATGTAATTTCTGTTAATTGGGTTGATCGACCGTTATTAATGGCTGGAACTTTAGACTGGAAAAAAGGTAAAGGGGGAAATATATGTTGCCCTGCAATAGGCCACCTACGGACCCCATCTAAAGATGTTCTTTAACGAGAATTGTGCAAAAAGCTTTCCTTTTCAAACACTTCGCACTGGAGCTAATAAAAAGTTCTATTCTAACCAGACGGTCGGCTGGGTATCTATGCACATCTAAAGAAGAGAGGAAAAAAGGGCATACACTACCAGAATGCGTCTTACGGCCAGATTTGAAAAGTCTAGGGAACATTATTTTTATATACCAGTTTCCTCTGTGTATTGGTTATCTAAGGTTTTAAACAGACAGCAATGTTTGCTTATGAAATTTAAGTTGTACAAGTGCATTTGCCATCCAGTGGTATGAAAATGAAGGGATTCAGGGTTTAAATTATTTTCTTAACAGAAAAAAAAACTACATGCTAGATAAGCAGAGGAAGGCTTCTATTGGTGTTGTTACACATCAGTTTGATTAAAGGTAATATCAAAATAACTATATCAACACCTCCTTCTCCGAGGATACCATCCACTAAGTGTTATTTTGCAGAAAAGTTTCTAGAAATATTATTACTTTAACTTACATGATTGTATATCGCAGCTCCCTCTGACAGTTTTGATAGTTTTGTTTAGGTCCTTTTGGTTTTTCATATGTTTTACATTTTGGGATTTCTAGAAGTTTTTTCTCTTGCATATATGAAAAGGGTTAAAACCACATGTCTAGGGTATATAAATATAGGATTCAGTCACGTCCGTCAAAATGGGGACGTTAAATTCGATGCCTCGCAAAGGGAGAGTGCCACGTTTTCTGCACGTTTAAAGATCCTTGCAACAACTATATGATGGGTCCGAATGTGTCCTATTGCAATTGCACGGCACTATTTTTGTCCCTTTCCAACATGCTCTCGTTTTCTAGTAGTAGTCTTTATTTTCCGCCCTGCAAAACCTTACTATTATTTTTTTTAGTTTTTGATTTATATCGTCTTGAATATACATAACATATTTGGCACAGTGTCAGATATCATTCCGTTGAACTTCATCCTGTTCCTGTTGACAGTTTTGACTTAATCCTAAACAGTTACCTTACTATCCACTTGTTGCTCGAGTACTCCAACACTGTCTTGAATTGTCGTCCGTCCCGTATGTCATGTACATAATCTCAAAACGCTTGTATTTGCAACTCTTAGTCATACATCGAACACGACTGGATTGGTTTTCCACTGTGCTTTTTTGTTTTTGTTTTTGTTTTTTGTTATTTATTGGACACGTATGGTTTAAAAGTGAAATGGAGGGGTCATTTCGTACTTACCTTTTTTGTTTTCATTGTACCTCTTACCTTACTTAGGGTTTGGATCTATTTTAACTAGATACCACCGCGTGATTTATGCGTTTGTCTCAAGTCAGGAATATGTTGGACATTGGTACTATCCTTATCTCGATTAGCTCGCATTTTTTTTTTTTTTTACAATGTGACATCTTAACATTTAAAAATTATGAATTCTTCTACATTCAAGAACGGAAATTCGAGATAAGAGTCAAATAGTAGACAAATCGTATTACCCAGTATCATCTTAAGGTCTCCTCTTAACATTTGAAGGTCCTTTCTTTCTATTGGCTACCTAAACTACGAAAAAAAATATCGTTTCATCACAAATTCTAGTGATTGTTCTTATAAGCTTTTATATGTAAGAGTCAAATCTATATGTCCAGCCTGAAATCTGTGTTTTTTCTCAGAACTGTGTCCCGTGACGTAGTAAAACTCAATTTTTTTTCTTCAAATACGTATCCTTTTTATGACATAAACTCTCAGGATTGTGACGTAACTTCGAACAGGCACATATAAATGCGATGGGGTTAAATCGCTCAACCCTCCCATAAACTTGGGCCTTCGTGTTACAACGCAACATAAGAACAAACTGTAAAATATTGTTGGAAAGGGCTTGTCTCATCACATAGACAAGAAACACAAAATTCAACTAACAAAAAGACAAAAAACACAAAGTACCGATCTAAGAATACTAAATTCTATTTCACCATTTGCCCTCCCCCCTCGAATAAAAATAAACCGTGTATGACTAATGTGTTTTTATATACATATATTGAGAGAAAAGGCAAGTTTTTTTGTTGTTTTTTTATGACAGCTTGGCTTTCACTGCTATTTGTTTGATTAAAAAAGTTAAGAACTTGATGATAAGGTTAATTTCTAAACTGATGAAAGATCAAATTTATACTTATTTTTTTTTTTTTTTTACAATTAGTTATTGTGAGAAACTGTAAGCTCCTTGGCACATAGTTAAGGTAAATACGCCTTAACTGATTTTAATTTAATTCGAATATACATTTGTAAAAAGCTTTCATCGGTGACATTTTGAAAATTTTGACGTAAACACATATGACATTGTTGAAAGGAACACAGATTTGAGAAAAGAGGGGACATAGATTTGTGACGTCTATGACGAAAAATAGAATAGAACACAGATCCTAGGAAAGGACACAGATTTAAGTTTACACCTATAGCACGCCTTTTCCGAATTAAATTAATTTTGTTAATGAATAAGGAATGGCTATATATGATTTGTAATATTATTGGGCGATGACACACGTCAAAGGTTAAATGCTGACAAATGAATCTTGACAGATTTTCATGAATTAAATGTCAATTGAATTGTAGCGCTTACTGTGCAATATGTGGAGCAGGATATCCTCGTCCTAGAGCATCTTAGAAAACCCCCGGTGTTTGGTGGGGCTCGTGTTGCTCAGTGTTTAGTTTTCTATGTTGTTTTTTGTGTACTGTTGTTTGTCTATGTCGTTTTTCGTTCATGCCATGGCATTGTTAGTTCGTTTTCTACTTATAATTTTGAATCCGCCCTTTGTATATTTCACATCTCTTTTAATATGATGTGCATAAAACGTTTCTTATTTTTAAAAACTTGAACTCATGGATCAGGTGTTTTCAGTAGGCTTGTATTTAAGATTCATATGAATAGATTATTTCGGTTAGATTATTATCAAGATTTACAGTTATTGAATAGTGTTACCTCCTCGAAAATTCTTGAGGGCAATAGATGCAAAATAAGTTCATGTTGCCTGCTTTCCGTTCACATCTCTCCGTAGTTTTTTTCAATTTATTTCGTGCAGTTATTTTGAATTTATCGAATGATTTTGAAGATTATATCCAATGAAGTATAATTTGACAGTCAATTGATAAACGACAAAGGATTGCCTCCTCGGACTCACTGGGAGACAAAATTATGTATACATTAGTGTTGTTACTATGTTATCCTTCTTGTATGGGAAAGCATTTATATGGATTGAGCCTGTATCAATTCCCTTTGTCTAAATATAATTGATCTAAACAATAAAATCTTTGAATTGTGAAACTGTGAATTTGACGCGCCATAACACGATATGCTATCAACTAGTTGTATATACGGGCTGCAATGACGGCGGCCATTAACTTCAATATTGGCAACGTGAAATACGCTTTTTAGCAATGGCTATCGAAGAAGAAATTTTTTTACATAAATATGCGAAAGCTTCATAAGCTCTTTGACCGATATCTACAAAGATATGTAATTTCACTTTTTTATGTCTCCGTTTTGGTTTTTGTCTTGTGAAATAATGAATTGAAACACTTGTGTTTGAATATCACCTCATATATCACTCCATGCTATTAGTATGCATGTAGGTAATATTTCGTCCCAGTCGTAACCGTCTTCCAATAAGCGCTGTAATAAAAGCTTCACCATTTCAGCAACTGGTCCAAGAATACCAAGTGGGTCATAAATGATTGGCATTTGTCGTGCTTTGTTTCTTGTGAATTATCGATCAAAATGTTCTCTGCTGAAAAAAATGTCAGGATGTCTGAGTTTGAATTCTTTCAAACGCATACCAATAATTTTAGTTTCAATGTCCAAATCCATTACGTTTTCCTGTGTTGACTTGTCGCTAAGTTTTTTATTGTTTATATTCCATGCTCTACGGTTGAATCCGGCGCTTCTCAAAAGTCTTCTAGAGTCTCTGAAAAATATCAGTACAGCTTCCTAAAAGACCAGCTATAAAAGACAACATATATTTACATAATGGTATTATCCAGTGACTTTTAAATACTGGGCAGCATGGGATTGGTGAGGGTTTAGTGTGATTTTTCCTGATACAGTTTATTTGATTTTGACAAAAAATAATCCCGAGAAAGATGGGTTTACTACCAGAACCTTCCCTCAACATCTGGTAATTGATTGTTTTTAAATGCCTCGTCTTAAATTGATGTTATTGTTTCTTGTGCATTATAACCATGACATATCAATGAAATTTTATTTGACAAGGTGATAACTACTGACTTGAATTTTGAAAGAAAATGGGGGTATTTTTAAATATTTTACTGTCATTCATCAATAATGCATCTATGTTTAAAGAAAACATTCTCTTACATATTCTACAAATCTCTTTTCATCCGGTAGGTTCATCGTAGTATAAAATTAAAAGACAAATGTGCATTCCATTTAAGACAAAACAGTATATATTCTTGTATTTTTCATAATCCAGTGTTTTTAAAAATTACTAGTAAATTTTGTTTCGTTCCACACATGCAGAAGAAAAATCCTCGACATTGTTACATTTCGACCCCTCTTTTACACAAACATGCGTTCAATTCATTTTATTTTCGTATTAACCATGATAGTATATTTCATTGTTCATTCTTATACGATAATTTTTATTTTGTTTGCATCTTTTGGTCAATGGAATTGGATGCTACATTTTTGTTTGTTTGTGATACATAAATATAATGTAATATTTCTAAATGACTAAACGCTAA